AATATAGTTTGCATCTTGATTTTTACACTTTAAAATATCATGAAAACCCTCTTCCTAGGGCGTCACTCGGAAAGAAGAAAAGGTTGTGTTCAGTTCAAGCACAAAGATTGTGAAGCCCAATGGCGAAAAGCCAGATGAATTCAAGTCTGGTATTTCTCAGGCTCTTCTTGAGTTGGAGATGAACTGGGACCTAAAGGCTCAGTCAAGAGAGCTAAACATAACTGCAGTTAAGGAAATTGAAGTTGGTGATGGTCAGAAAGTTATTATAATCTTTGTTCCTGTTCCTCAACTGAAGTCTTTCCAGAAAATCCAAGTCCGACTAGTACATGAACTGGAGAAAAAGTTCAGTGGAAAGCACGTGGTCTTTATTGCTCAGAGGAGAATTCTGCCTAAACCAATTAGAAAGAGCTGTACAAAAAAATAAGCAAAAGTGTTCTAGGAGCTGCACTCAGACTGCTATACATGATGCAATCCTTGAAGACTTGGTCTTCCAAGTGAAATTGTGGACAAGAGAATCCGAGTAAAGCTGGATGGCAGCCGTTTTATAAAGGTTCATTTGTTCAAAGCACAGCAGACAATGTAGAATACAAGGTTAAAACATTTTCTGGTGTGTATAAGAAGCTCACAGGCAAGGCTGTTAATTTTGAATTCCCAGAGTTTCAGTTGTAAACAAAATGATTAGATGAGATATCACGCACACACACACAAAATATCATGAAGATGTTCCATGTCAGTACATTACAAATATGCCCAAACATCATTAATTTCTGTTCAGAATTCCATTGTATGAGTCTCTCTTATTCCCTATTGATGAACATTTCGTTGTTCCCTTTGGGGAGCTATTTTAAAAATTACTGCCATGAATAGCTTTGTGCTTTTATCATTTTCACTTGTATAGATAATACATTGGCACTGCCTACCTAGGAGTGAAATTGCTGGGGCCAAATTGGAGTCCTGGTGTGGTTCTTTGGGCTAGCACTGAACTGCTTACTTCAAGGTCAGATGGGTTTGCATCAGCTGCTCCTTGGAAACTCTATACAGGGTCACTATGAGTCAGAATCAATCTAACAACATTTAACAAGTACCTAATTATATTGCACCGGAGTCCTGGTGTGGCGTTGTGGGTTTATGCGCCACACTGCAAAGCCCTTTGAACTGCAAGGTTGGTGGTTCAAGCTCACCAGCCGCTCCTCGGAAACCCTATCCAGGGTCGCTATGGGTCAGACCCGACTCGATGGCCCTTAACAACAACAACAACAACAACAATTATACTGCTTGCTGGTGGTGGTGTACTGTGGAGTTGGTTCCGACTCACAGAGACCCTGTATAGGGTTTCCAAGGCTGTAAGTCTTCATGAGAGCAGAAAGCCTCATCTTTCACCCCTTGAAGGGCTGGTAGTGTTGAATTGCGGACCTGAGGTTAGCAGCCAGACTCGTAACCACTACATAGTAGTTGTGGTAATTTTCTCTTCCAATGAAGTCCTGGTGTGGCACTGTGGGTTATTGTGCTGGCCTGCAAGGTTGGCTTGAACCACAAGGTTGGCAGTTCAAACTCACCAGCTGCTCCTTGGAAACCCTATACAGGGTTGCTTTGAGTCAGAACTGACTTGATGGCACTTAACAACAATTCTTCATTAGCAGTGGAATCATTTTGGTCTTTTGTTTGGTACTTGCTTATTACTCGTCTCTCTCATTCTTTCGCTCATCATTCTGTCCCAGAGCCTCATACATGGTTGTTGTTGCTGTTGTTAGGTGCCATCGAGTCGGTACCCACTCATAGCGACCTTCATACATGGTAAACCTCAATAAAGATTTAGTCAATGAAGAGCCCTCACTCCTGTAAACGATTCTCTTGGGATTTGCTCTAAAAATATGGTCACCTTGCCATTGAGTCCTTGGTACATTGTTCCATTGGCTTTATCTGGACTGGGAACCCTTTTTTATTTATCTTTTCTTTTCTTTTTTTCCTAGTATCCAATACAGTGGCTAACACCCACTAAAGCTCAATAAGCCTATGTTGAAGAAATAACTCAATGACAAATTTTCAGGCCAAATAAAAATACAAATTAAAAGGCAGATTAAGATTAAGCTAAGGGTGCTCAATGGGGGAGTGGAAGTGACAGGCCAGGAAATTGCTTTCTAGGGATACTGGGGTTGTGTTGATAGAGAAAGCCCTCAAGAGATGTCCCAGGGAGAGAATACTCTCCCCTTTCCTGAGACAAGTAGACAAAAGTTCCCACTGCCCCTTTCGTCTTTAACCAGGGATCCACCAGAAATGTAAACATGGTTTTTCAATAGTTAGTAAAATGTTTGATACCTGAAAAAATATTTTAATTGGTAACTCCAGAATAGAAGAAAACTACAAAAATCAGTGCTTTGCTACATGTATACAAAGTATAAGCAACTATTAGCACTTCTATTTGTAAATGTATTTTAACTCTGGATAGTACCACATTTTAATGTTTAATATAATACCCGTGTAGATTGAGGTCTCCAAAATTGGAGCCTTAAAAGTTTTAAATGAGCTCAATTTCTACCTGGTAGAAGCTCCGGTAGTGTAGTGGTTACGAGTCAGGCTGCCAACCGCAAGGTCAGTAGTTCGAAACTGCCAGCGGTTCCACGGGAGAAAGACGAGGGTTTCTGCTCCCGTAAAGATTTACAGCCTCAGAAACCCTGCCTGTATAGGGTTGCTATGAGTTGGAACCGACTCCACGGTACTTACCAACAATTTCTACCTCAGAATTCCCGCATAGGAAAGGTCTCTGCTTTGTCGGGATTTTGTTCTCTTTAAAGATAATTTCACGATCTTTAAATGGAAGCTCTCATAAAAAGACTCATCCCAGAATTATAGTAAGGACAAAATGAAATCATGTACAATAAACCTGCAAAAGTTTCTCCTTCAGAGAATGAAAACTCAATTATTTCCCATGAACAGGAAGTTAGAAAAGTGATAAGATGTGGCACCTTAGGATAAGCACTGGACCTCACGGTCGGTTTGAACTTTAAGGTTGACAGTTCAAACTCACAAGCTGCTCCTTGGGAACCCTGTACAGGTCACTGTGAGTCAGAACACACTCCACAGCATTTAACAACAAAAACAGGAAACATAAAAGGTGGAAAACAACAACAACCAAGGCAATCCTGGAGAATTGGGCTCTCACCGATTAGATTATTGTGTTACAAAGGTGCAGGTGCAGAATAGTATTAGCACTTGATTGTTTCCGGTCAGCTCCTGGAGGGCTGAATGTTTGTTTTCTTCATTTCAGCTTCCCAGTTCCCAGGCTCAACTCCAGGGGACACCATTCATATTATTTCTCAACTCTTAGAGGTAGCATTGACAAAAAATGCAAAGTGAATGGTGCTCCCCAGAGCGCAATTCACAGAAAATATAGTGAAACCTGTGTGAGTCAGAACTCGCCTGGATTGCTTTGTTTTACTAGGTCTCACAAACGTCTCCCCTTTGACAGAGTATAGTATTAGCACTTTCTACTGCTCATTTTAGTGGAAATATTTGAATTGTCCTTTCTGATGGGTTTCTGCCTTGCACAGGTTCCAGTTTTCACAGATTTACTCTACATCCTGGATGGTGCTTTCAGGATTTGTCTTGCCTTGCTGTTGTTAAGTGCTGTCGAGTTGATTCCGACCCATAGTGACCCTGTATAAGGTTTCCAAGGAGCAGCTGATGAGTTTGAACCTCCAACCTTGCAGTTCAAACGGCTTTGCAGTCTGGCGCATTAACCCCCAGCACCACACTAGGACCTAGTAAAGGTTAATTGTTAGTGATAATAGTCATCAAGTCCATTCCAGCAAGACTGGAAGACAAGTTTGCTGACTGATTGAATGAAAGAATGGAATCCGATTTTATCCTGGATCATGCCACAACTACCACCATTACCACCAAGATAAACAGGAAAACCGACCTGGAGTAAAAGAGCTTGAGGGAAGAGGAAAGACAGGCATGATCATCATGCATTTCGCTCCGAGGTTTCAGTGCAATGAAAAGGAATTTGGGGGAGTAAGGGTGGCCTTAGTGATATTTGAGGGAGGAGTGGGATACCAGGGAACCTATATTCCTACTTAAAATTTCCTTAAATTTTACATCTTGCCTATCTTAGTGTGGTCCGAATCAAGCTGTCCTTGAGTAATGGTTGTTCATTCATTTAAAAATAAAGCGCATACTGAGCGTCCTACTTGGGAACAGACCACTGGAGGTTACATTACCCTCGGTGGTTAACAATCATCTTCAGGAGGTGGTGTGTAAACTCAGACCCACAGAGTAGGTAGGAGTGAGGGTGAAAGTGAGCTTGGAGCCCTTGAGTGAGGGAGACCTGTGGGCAAAGACCAGACCATACAGGGCTCATGGTTAGGATTTTATCTTGAGGATAATCGAATCTAGTAAAGAATTCTAATGAGAAGTGACATGGTCAAATTTGAATTTCTAGTCACGGAGAGTGGACTGAAGAAAGCTGTCCCGACGACAAATAATGATGTTGGTGTTAAGTGCCGTTGAGTCAGTTCCGACCCATAGCGCCCCTGTACAGGGTTTCCAAGGAGCAGATGGTGAGCTTGAACCGCTAACCTTGCAGCTCAAACTGCTTTTCAGCCTGGCGCATTAACCCACAGCGCCACACCAGGACAAATAGCGATAGCTTTACCAAAATGGTAACTGTGGAGATGGAGGTATACAGTTCCAGGTACGTTTAGGAGGTAAAACCCGACAGGGCTGGTGACGGAAAAACAGTCCTACCTCAAAGGAACAGATACCCTGAAAGAGAAACAAGAAGGATATTGATACAAGACTACTTTATTTTAGACATAATTTAGGCATCCTCCTTCCCTTAACTCTGCGGTCTCGATATGTGGACACGGAACAGGACTGAGAGGCGGGGCAAGAGCACACAAAAACCCGGGAACTTTCCTCTAAACTGGGTGGTCGGGTGCGGAAAGGAGAACAAAGAACACAAGGAACATCCGGTTACTCCGGAAGTAGAGATTAGATACACTCCTGAGCTCCTCCGCCGGCGGCGGGCCAGGGTGAAGGTATGGCCGGCCAGGTAGTGCGGCTGGTGCTGCTGGCCGGGGCGGCTGTACTGGCAAGCGGCTCCCAGGGCGACCGTGAACCAGTGTACCGTGAATGTGTACTACGGTGCGAGGAACGGAACTGCTCGGGGGGCGCGCTGAAGCACTTCCGTTCCAGCCAGCCAATCTACATGAGTCTGACAGGTAAGCCCCGCCCTTCTCAACCCCGCCTATTTATATCTGCCCCGCCCCTTGTGCCCACCCCTACCCCCAACCCTTGTGCAAGCTCTCCTGGTTTGTTGACCTCAGGGTCTCCTGTGAATGTGAAAGGAGCCCCAACGTAATTGGAACCTTACCTTCCAGTCTTGCTTTTCCAAAGCTTTCACTTTGGGCAAGCCAGTATTTGAACACTCTGAAGTGACACAGTAGTGAGAGCCAGATCCTGCCCTCACAAGGGCATTAACCATGTCACATACAAGGAAGGGAGTGGTTTGAACCCTAAAGGTACCCTAAGCCTAGGAGCATTTGGGTTTTGAGGGAGACCAGAGTCATCTTGGGACACTGTGAAGGAAAGATTTTCATCTGATATTTACTAGATGAATACATTAAATTTGGACCTCTGTTCATAGTGTGCAGGAAGTGAACATATTGACCACCTACTGTGTCTTCCCTATTCATTGTCCAACTGTTGCATGCATATGAGCTTATTGAAAATACCATGGCTTGGGTTAGGTGCACCTTAGTCCTCAAGCTGATATCTTGTGCAGCAGATTTGTCTAATGCAATACATAGTTTGATTTCTTGACTGCTCTTTTCATGAGTGTTGATGGTTGTTCTGAGCTTAATGAAGCCTTTAACAACTTCAGTCTTTTCTCACTGTATCCTGACATTATTATGTGAAGTAGTTTCTCTTATTATCCCAATTTTATAGATGGGAACATTCAGATTAAGTGCCCTGCCCAAGGTCACACAGCTAGTAAGTGATAAAGTTTCCAGCTGTGGCCTGGGTGACCACAACATTATCCTCTCTGCATTCCAGGTAGAGGGAACTGAAAGAGCATAGGCCCTGAGGGGCAAGGAGCAGCTGTGTATACTTCCATCTTGGTTTATTCAAAAAGGAGGATTTGTAAAACGGAATAGTAGGAGATAAGGTGGGAAAGGCAATTTGGGACTTCAGTTCCATAGGGGAAGGCAGCATGGGCTTCTCTCTGGTGAGAAGTGAGAGCAAATCTTGTGTTCATGTGGGACAAACCCAAAGTCAAGTATTCATAGATGAGTCCAGTGGAAGCCAAGATCCTTATCTTAGGTGAACACTTGTTCACTGTGTATCCCCCACCCCCAAAGCACACTCACACACACACTCACACACATTCTCCCTTACACGCATACCCCTTCCCCTTGTGTATATGTTCCAACATCTCTCATCTCTCATCCATCCAAGTGGGAATGTAAAATATTGAGATTTCTTTTTGTTCTCTCCAACCTGAAGACTTCCTGGGCCCCATCCAAGCTTGTTGTGTGCCTCCCTGTGCTGGAGACTTTACCAGGTGACATTTTGTCTTTTTAGGTTGGACCTGTCCGGATGACTGTAAATACGAGTGTATGTGGCTTACTGTTGGCCTCTACCTCCAGGAAGGCCACAAAGTGCCTCAGTTCCATGGCAAGGTGAGTTGGAAGGGTTAGGGTGGGTGTATTGTGGTAGTATGGTGAGGGTAAGATACTCCCCAACTGAACCACGCTGCTCAGATAATCTGAGGCTGGGGCTCAGGTCAGGGGTGGTGGTTGTGTGTTTGGGGCAGGTGTTTCTTCTCAAAAATCTAATGTTCATATAATAACATAGGATGAGTGTGTTCTGCCTTGGGTTTGTGTCCTGACTTTCGACTGGGTGAAATACGAACTGGGAGGCTTTGGGGATTCCTCATAAAGTGTTGCTGGGCTTTTGGGGGTGGTTGTGATACCTACCTTATTGCAAGGACAAATTCCCTGACCCACCATGACATTCTTTCTATTGCTTCTCCAGTAGGGATCTGAATTGATAATAATATTCTCCCAGATTGCCATTGACGCACAGTTTTTTGGTACCTTTTGATGCAATATTATCTCACTGTTACCTGGTAAGATTGGCAGGAACTATTGTTTCCAATTTTCCGTAGAGTAAGCTGAGTCTCAGAGGCTTTGTCATCAGTGGTAAAGGAGAGCCCCTATAGGACTTGTGTCTTCTGGATGGAAGGTCTGGGCTGTTTCTACTTGCTGAGTACCTGCCATGTCCCAGGCTAGGTTGAGCCATCTGCACTGGCCCACCTGGTCTTCCTCTAAGACAAGGGCTTAAAGTGCCATGCATGCAGGCCAGGATTAGGGGTGTGACCCTCAGTCAGGGATTGGAAGGAAAGCTCACTGTCCTGAAGGGTGACTGAACCTGAGGTTTGGACCAAGATTCAGAGCTGAGGAGTCAGCAAGCGGCCCGCCGATGTTGATGCAGATGCCAATAATGACTGGTAGGTTGGACCAGTGGGAAGTTGCCTGCCCCTCAGGCCACCTCCATCTGCTCCTTTTTTTCAGTGGCCCTTTTCCCGGTTCCTGTTCTTCCAAGAGCCAGCTTCTGCCATGGCCTCCTTCCTCAATGGCATGGCCAGCCTGATGATGCTCTGCCGCTACCGCACCTCAGTGCCAGCCTCCTCCCCCATGTACCACACCTGCGTGGCCTTCGCCTGGGTAGGTAACCTGATGGATCTGCTCCACACCCTCCTCTAGGAAGGAAGAACTCTTAGGTATCCAATCTCACCTAACATGGCTACTACTTACTCAGCAGCTTCCCTCTGCTGAAGTTACCACTGGGAGTGGTCAAGCCTGGGGAGAGAACAGGGATGGTCCTGAATCAGGCCTCCCCTTCCAGTAGAGCCCTACAGTCCTGTTAGGGAGGAAAATAGGAAAGAAGCATTGCTCTTATCCCGAAGGAAGAAGCCTCCAAAAGACCCAAGAGGGCCGTTTACAGATGTAGAGGGAGATGGGTGGTAGGGAGCATGTTGGGATCACAGATCCTGTTGGGGAATTCCAGTTCCTATCAGGACACAAGACCCTTCTGGAGGAATTGGAGCAATCTCAAAGCCAACCCAGGCCTTTGGGCAGTGGCAGACACAGCATTCTCAGTGTAGAGTTCAGCCTGGTCTCAGACCATCCCTGGAGAAGCTGAGGGATGGTCCATATGCATCAGAGGACTCTAAGCTTCACACACTGCAGGTCATTGATGGATCTGAATGGCTAGGAGATCTCGCATGCAGGAAGTCAGGGAGTTGGGTATGACAGATGGGACTGGCCCGTGGAGGGCCTAGGGGACACGTTCACACTTTAGATTTCAGTCCTCAGAGCATCAGAAAGTATTGAAAGATCCCCAGTGAAGGAGGAGAGAGAAGGAGCTTCATGACTAGATTTACCCTTTGGAAAGCTCACTGTGTAGAGAAGAGATTGGGGAGGCAAGAGTAGATGTAGGGGGACTGGATGGTAGTTCTAGCTCAGGGCACAGTAGCTTGACTAAAGAGGTGGCCCAAATCGGGATGGAGCCTTGAGGAACCCTAAAACGTAAAGGCTGGATAGAGGAGACTGAACTAGCAGCAGAGACAGAGGAGTGACCCGAGAGGTAGGTGGAGGACTAGGAGAGAGGTCAGTTAGGGGACAAGGAGGAGAGAGTAGTCAGCTCTCCTGAATTCTGTTAGAGTGAGCTGAGGTCTAAAGAATGCTCTGAGGACCGCAGGAAGACGGATGGTGCCAACAAGTCCAGGCTGAATCGTAGACATAGGAGCAAGGGGTTGGAAGGAGGCTGGTACACCTCTGGGAAATCCTACCTAATGCTTTCTCATCCACCAGTACTACCAATAATTCTGAATTATGGAGCATGAACCATGTGAAGGGCATTGTCCTAAACATTTGATCATTATCATACCCCTGTGAGCTCTGAGCTATCGGCAATTGTGGAGGCAGGGTTTGCAGTCTGGGCTGACTCCATTCTGGGCTGCCTCCGTGTACCATAAGGGATGTCTATGGAGCATCTGCTGTGGGTAGACACAGGGTGTGGCACTTGTGGGGACTAATGTCCCTGCCCCTAAGAAGCAAGGCCTGTTGCTGTTAGCAGAGTTCAGAGGGTACATAAAGACAGGGGCCCATGCAGCCTGGGGGACGGAGCTGAGGAGGGATTCCAGAGAGGGCCCTGGAAGTTGTGAGCTTGGAGAGTCTCTTGTAAGTTAGTGAGTCTACCAGGGAAGAGGAGTGGTTTCAGCTGGGACTTGCAGACTTGCAGGTCTGTTTAGATTGGGGCCTGTGAGATCCTAGGGGAACTACAGAAGCAAAGATACAAGGCTGGAGTGTATGGGACCTAGACAGGCAAGGCCAGCCTGGCCATAGTGTGACTGAGGGAAGGGGACTAGAGGAAGCAGAGGAGGCCCCATGTGTCTGGCCGAGGGTCCAGGGCTCTTACGTAGTCAAGGACCTGGCATTAGCACACAGTATCCCAGGCATGGGTGAGAGACAGCTACTACTTCGTGCCTAGGCCTCTTGCAGAGAAGGGGATCTGATCCTGACCAGGAAAGCAGGAAGAGCACCTGTCCCCTTCCCTGGTCTTCCTGAGACACTGCCTGCATCTTCCCCACGCCCCAGCCCCACATGAGAGAGCTCAGGACAACCTGCCTGGATTTTCTGAGCAAAGCTCAGAACTTCCTTGAATAGACCAGAAAGAAGGTCTCAGCCTTTGTCCTCATGACGTGTGCCCCTGGTCACTTCATAACTTTCATCCTCTTCTCCCTGATGCTTGGATCTTTCATCTTACTGGTGTCTGCTACTTATCTTCCTTCTAAGCAAGAGATCGCACCTCTCAGGGTGTCCTACAGTCCAGCCTCAACTAGGGTGCTTTGGGAAAGAGCCGATGTTGAGATGGGAGTGGGCAGACAGAACCTGGAGCCTATGTCTTGAGGCCTTGAACACCCTATGGATATGGGCGTCTGAGGCATGGACCCTCTCTTGCCACCACTAGGCCTTCCAGGGACATAGCTTCAGAATCTGTGTGCCCTTTGATGATCTGATTTAGATTTTACACTTGATCTTTAGTCCAGTGTATGTATTGTATTTCTACCGGTAGGAGGAACCCTGAGCTGTGTGGAAGGTGTGGCAGTGGACCTTGTCCTGGGCTGCGGCTCCTGGAGCCAGTGGGATTCCGGACTTCTGTTAGGGTGGGAGGAGGGAGGCACTCCACTTGTCCCAGGTTACCTCTTAGTATAGACCCCAGTGTCTTTCTGAGGGCAATAAGAAGCCCCTACCCTCCAGTAAGGCTGATGAAGTTTTGGCAGCTCCTGAATTGCCATTTAGGCCCTGTCAGTAGCCAGGCGGGGTTGGATAACCTGCCAGAGCTTGGCACATTGCCGTCCTCTGACCACACGGAATCAGGGTCCCTGCCCTTTGCCAAAGCGAGGAGGTCACACACCTACCCTCTTCATCTAGCAGTGGAAGGTTCTCAAATATAGAGGGTCAGGTGGCAGGGAAGTCCAGCTCCTTTGTAGGATGGTTAGGGAGGTAGGGACTGATTGATTATATTCCACTTCTGCTGAGGAAACTTTGGGAAGAAACAGATTGAATCTGCAGCAGAATGATGGTTAGACTTCGGGAAAGACTTCCCAATGGTCAGACAAGAGCCAGTGGGAAAGGCAATGGCAAGAAACCAAGGAATCCTTTTCCATGTTGTCAAAAGCCTACCTCATTGTCTCAGGGAAGACTTGCCCTACTGGAGGCTGGGGCTGAGACCTGGTGGCCTCTGGTGGGGTGGGGTGGGGGTGGGGCATCCAGGATGGCAGCAGGCGTCATATTGAACATTGTGCCTCCCCCACTTCTGAGACACCGAGCTATTTAAAGACCCACTTGTCCCCACCGCCATGGTGTCAATGACAGCCCCGAGCACTGGGGCTTAGCACTGGGGTCGAATTCCTGACAGATCTGGCTCACTTGGCATCCAACCAGTTTCACCGCTGTGATATTTTTGTCTCAATTTTCTTATTTTCCAACAGACTGAAACCACCTCCTGCTCTCCCCATACCCAGTCTTTCCTGGCCCCCTCCAGCTCCACTCCCTTGGCACCCTGCCCCCTAACCACCAGCCCCTGGTCCCTCATATTTACACATGAGGGCTAGTCCCTGCCCTCCTGGTTTGTGTGATTGCCCAGCCACCCCGTCTGGCCCCCTCTCCATTCCACTGGATCTTGGCTGAGGAGTAGCCATACATTTGTCTTGTGGTTTTCTCTTCCCTTCATGCCCTTCTGTCCCCTTTGCTTGTGTCTTGTGTCTCCGTGACAACCTGAGTGAAGAGACATAGTGTCAGTCCATACTGCTGGGATAGTGACTCAGGAAGGGGAGGGACGTACCCTGGAGAGCCTGCATCCTGGAATCTAGAGACTCTATGGTTTGACCTTGAACATTGTGACCCTTGAGTAAGGGATAGGGGTCAAGTGAAGGGTGGTCAAGTGGTGGGTATGCAGTCTACTGGAGGAACAACACTGACTTTTCTGGGGCACCTGCTGTGTACCAGACAGCAGTAACAGCCACCATTTATTGAGTGGCTCTTTTGTGCCTGACACCTTACAAGCATCATTATCATCCTCATGACCTTACTATGCAGTCCATACTATTCTTTTGTAGATGAGGCTCAGAGAAGCTAAGTGACTTAGCCAGGATCACACAGCTAGTTAGTGGCTGTGGCAGAATTTGAACCCAGGGTCTGTGAAGGGAGTCAGTTTCATTGTGGAGGTGCCAGCCCTTCTCCTCTCAATCTGCGCAGCTATGGGGAGATCAACCCTTCTCCAAATGTCTTCAGCTTGCAGGAAGATTGAGAGGCAAACTGGGCCTCATTCACCTCAAGTCTGTGGAGAGCTGTGAGGGTCCCGGGGAGCAGAAATACACTATCAGCACTCTGTAGTCCTATTACTAATGGAATATGTACCAATCCTATGATTAGTCCCATTTTACAAATGAGGAAACTGAGACATAGCAAAGCCAAGCAGCTTACCCAAAGACACATAGGTAATGGTAAAGCTGAAAATTTGACCCTGGTAGTCTGACTCTAAGAACCATGGCCACGCAGTGGTTAAGTTAACCGAAAGGTGAAAGATGTGGTAGTTGTCTTCCGTAAAGATAACAGCCTCGGAAACCCTATGAGACAGTTCTGCTCTGTCCTAGGGCCTGCATTCTTAAAGACACTACTTTGTAAGTCTGGGAGAGGGGTCTAAGAGGAGCTCCCACACTGGGACACTCCCTGAGGTGAGAGACCTTTTCCAAAGTACAGAGTCCAGGCTTCACTGGCTCTCAGTCAGCAGAAAGGGGAAGAGGGTGGACAGTAGGCCACACAGCCCCTTCTGGTCCAGTAGTGATGAGCTCTCACCTTGGGCACATCTTTACTCTCTGCTTTCCAACTTCCAGCTGTCACTTAGCTCTTAGGTCTTGTCACCTCCCCTTCCTGCTGTGGGGACAAGGAGGTCTGGCTGTCTGCCTCCTGCACTAGCTCCAGGGCCACTCACCTTCCCAGAGATGCCCCTGTTCCTGGACCCTATCTCAGCCCTGAGCCTGCTCTCTCCCTGAACTGGGCCCTGGCTGATCATCAGGTGTGAGGAGTTGTGCCCATGAATACACCTGCCTCAATCTATATTCCTGCCTCCAGACAGGTGGGGCAACACTGGAACCCGGCCCATGGGGCAGGATGACTGGGCCATGCATAGCTCACAGGAGGAAGCAACCTGACCTGGAATAAATAACCTGACTGATGTCAGGACAGGGGAACAACGGGGTGGTGGGGGGTGGGGGGCTTGGGGAGGCCTCTTAGCCAGCCCCTGGTTTGTTCCCAGGGGAAGTTTGGGCTGAGAAGGGCAGTACCTAAACCCAGGACACAAGGAGCATTAGCAGCTAAGTCCCAGGCCTCCAGAGACCCAGGCCCTGGAATGAGAAGGCCCAGATCTCTGCTCTGCCCCACCCCAGTGCTCTTCCCATTCCCTCCTCAGCTCCTTGTGGACCTGCAGCCTACTGTCTGACCTCTGTCCTTCCTTCTACAGCACTGGATGGAGAGTGTGGCTTGTCACCCTGCTCCCCCTGCCTGGCCAGTTTCCTGGCATCCTGGACCTAAGGGAGCAGCTCTGGCCTTTCTCCACCACTGGCAGGCCTGTCCCACCCTAGCACATCCCTCCCCACCTCCAGGGCATTCCAGGCCTGGCTCTGGCTGTGTCTTCCTTGGTTCTCACTGGTTATCCAGCCCTTCCTCCCAGCCCATCCCCACCCCAGCCACCCTTCTTTCAGCGGTCTAGGCCTCTGCTGTGGACAGAGCAGGCGAATGCCAGCACCAACTCCCAGAAGATCAGGAGTTCATTAGCAACATGATTTATCTTCTCTTTCCACGCGCTAATTTCTAGGCAAAAGGCCTCAAACCTTCCCCAGGGCCTTTGCCCACCTTAGCCCTCTAGCCTTGCTCCTTGCTCTTCCCCAGGGCTTGGAAGCAACCACTGGCCCAGCAGGTTGGGCCAGTTCTGTCAGGAGGAGCACCTGGCTTGGTTGGCCACCCTTCTCCCCAGATACTTGGCCCCAGTGGGATCTGCTTGATCTCCAGGCTCCCTCACTTGCTAACTTGCTGGCTTGGGACACACCCCAAGCTGGAACCCCTCCACCCCACCCAGCTCATCCCCACCCATAGAGGCTGAGGTCACTGCCTCCCTGGGGCCTAGGTGAGGCTGTCATCACCTGCTGGTGGGGGAAGAAGGCAAGGGCCCCCGGAGGTTATTGTCTCAGTGCTTGAGTTTGAGTAACCCGGGAACTTGGCTCTGCCAGAACTGGTTTCCAGGTCAGGGAGGAACCTGTGGAGGCTGTAGCTCCCATTCAAGATGGTAGAAAGCCAAACCTGGGGGAACTGGGGTGAGTGGGGGTCCGTGGAGGACTCCGGGGGTGCTAGAAAACACACCTCCCTCTTGAGGATCTCTCAGGCCAGTAAGAGGCCTGATAGAGACCCTTAGTCTTAAAGGTGAGGTGGAAGTGAACCTTCTGGGGTCTCCCCACCCTTGGGCAGTATGCCTACCAGCCTTTCCCTCCTCAGGTCTCCCTCAATGCTTGGTTCTGGTCCACAGTCTTTCACACCAGGGACACCGACCTCACAGAGGTGAGCACCCCTCCTGCTCTCCAACTGGCAGGGCCTGTCCCAGAGGAACCCCCAGAGGGCTGGAGTAGAGTGGTCTCTTATAGCTAATATGGAGTATATACCTTCTATGGAGTATTTACTGTGTATTAGTAATCTACAATAACAGCACTTGAGCTCCACCAAGCTTGAGAGGTACGAAGGAGCCTTAACTCTTTTTAACTGATGAGACAGCTGAGCTGGAGATCGGCGTCACATAATAACATGGCACAATCAGTCTTGGGGTGGCGCTGTGGGCTAATGTGCTGGACTGCAAAGTTGGTTTGAACCACAAGGCTGCCATTTCTAGCTCACCATCTGCTCCTTGGAAACCTTACACAGGGTCACTATGGGTCAGAACCGACTCGACAGCACTTAACAACATCAGGACTGGAGCCCCCACTGTTTGTCAGACTCCAGCGTGCTCTTAGTTCCATGGTGTGCGTGTTTGATTCTGAGTCTTCATAGCGCCTTCTGGTAGCGTTCCTAAAGCCTCGCACCTGAGCACGTTTTTAAAAAATGGGCCAGTCTGTACGTGAAATAACTCTAGACAAGGGAGCAGGACACGTGGTGGCCACTGACCCCAGGCCCAGGGCCCCCATGCTAGACCCCACTGTGCCTCTGCCACCCCTCGGTATCCATTCTTGGTGGGGGGGGGGGTCCTCTCTGGGCCCAACCCTCCAGGAGGCCTTGTCCACTCCCTGCTCCCCTCAAACCCGCGCCTCCTACTGGCCTCCCTGTCCTCAGAAAATGGACTACTTCTGTGCCTCCACCGTCATCCTCCACTCAATCTACCTGTGCTGTGTCAGGTGAGGCTGCCTGGGAGCTGCAGGGGCGGGATCAGGCCTCAGGGCAGAGAGGGGTTCCCCAGATCTCCCTTCTTCAGTAGCTTCCCAACACACCCTGTCCATCCAGGCTGCCCTAAAAGAGGGCTCTGAAGTAGGACTGGGGCCCTGGCTCCTGTCAAGGGCCTACAGCATCACTTGGTCCTCTGGGGGATGGGACTGCTCCACTGACCTGTTTGGGGTAGAGAGAGGGACAGTGGCTTCCAGGACCACATACTGATGTTAGGACCAGGACGGGCGGGCTGCCTGTCCTTGTCCTCATCTGAGCAGCTCTGATGGGGGCAGGACTGTGGGGCTGCAGCACCCAGCTATGGTCGGCGCTTTCCGGACCCTCTTGCTGCTGCTGCTGACCGCACACATCTCCTACTTGAGCCTCATCCACTTTGACTACGGCTACAACCTGGTGGCTAATGTGGCTATTGGTGAGGTGGGACTGGGCCCCCAGGGGCTGGACAGGCTGTAGAACTGCTGGCTGGAGGTGGGGAGGGATTGGTGCCATTCTCGGGAAAAGGAAGTTCTAGAGAGAGTCTTGGGGTGACGGGGCTTCAAGAAGTTCATGGAAGAAGGCAGTTAAAAGATAATGAAATTGTGCCATGAGCTTTCCGAAGCCTCTTCATTTCACATGAGGGGACGAGGGAGTCTGGGAAGAGAGTTCCAGCAAGGTCCTGGGGACAGACGGGGGAGGCCTGGGGAGGGAGGAGGAGGTCCGGGCAGTGACCTCTCCTGCCCTGTGGCACCTAGGCCTGGTGAACATGCTGTGGTGGCTGGCCTGGTGCCTGTGGAACTGCCGACAACTGCCTCATGTGCACAAGTGCATGGTGGTGGTGCTGCTGCTACAGGCGCTGGCCCTGCTCGAGCTCCTGGACTTCCCGCCTCTCTTCTGGGTCCTGGATGCCCACGCCATCTGGCACATCAGTACCATCCCTGTCCACGTGCTGTTTTTCAGGTTGGTACTACTCTCTGCTGGTCTCCCTTCCTGAGCACACCTCTTGCCTCACCTGCCCAGGAGAGGAGGAGCAGAGCTGTGCCTCAATGGGCTCCTTCCTTGGCCCACAGCTTCCTAGAGGACGACAGCCTATACCTGCTAAAGGAATCAGAGGCCAAGTTCAAGCTGGACTGAAGATCCTGGGAGCAGGTCTACCCCTCCCTGCTGGCCTCCCTTCTCCCCTCAACTCTTGACATGATTTGTTTTCTCCTTTTAGCTTCTTGAACTTGGACATGAGGGGTGTGGCTCGAGAGTCATGTATCCTGCACACCCCACTGCCGGCCCTCATGTGTCCTTCACAGATCTTGGAGTCTGTTCTAGGCCTGGCCTCTCAGCATCAAGGGCAGAAAAATGGACAGGGTCTGTGGCTTCTGGAGTTAAACTGGGGGAGTTGAGTGTGCTTTAACCCCTCCAAGAGGAGAGCTGCCCCTGCCCCCAGCCTTGTCCCCATGTCCCATGCTACTTGGTGGTCTTTCTCAGAGCCCTGGGTCCAGCTAGGAGCCCAGGTACCACAGGACTGAGGCTGCAGCTGGGTACCCTCCTGTGCCCGCAGGGCACCACTAGGTGGCAGGCAATGCTTGCACTTGGGTTGCTGGCGAGCTGTCTGGGCTGCTCTCCCTTTCCCCTGAAGGATTAGGGAGCCCCACCAGAGACCTCACCATACTTCCACTCATGGCTGAGACCTCAGAGACCCAGACCAGCCCGGGGACAGGAGCCCCTGCAGCCTCCATGCTGTTGCTCTGGAGTGGGGGTGAGGCTGAGTGACAAGGCAATAGCATGTGCCCCACGCTTGTGTGTGTGGCATGCTGGGTGGGGCAGCGGATGCTCACACAGCCTGAGTACGCCGTGTGGAGAGTGTCCCCGGAGGGTATGAGGCTGGTGGTTTTTTCACAGAGGTGAAATTTATACAACAAAATTGATCATTTGAAAGGAAGCAGTTCATTAGTACTAAATGTACTTTCACAATCACGTACAACCACCACCTCTCTCTAGTTGCAAAACACTTTGGTGCCAGCGTTTACAGTGTGTGTGTGTTAGAGGGAGTAGGTAAGATTAGTGTGGGCTGGGTGGATAGATGGGTATGAGTGTGAGTGTGTCTGCAAGTGTGTGTCTGAAATAAGGTGTGCCACGTGGGGGAGGGGGACGGCACTAGGATGAGGAGATCAAGACACCATGATTTCTGAGCACCTGTTCTGCAACCTGGATGGGGCTGTGAGTACGTGTGTTCCTCCTCCTGCCCTTTACCCCCTGCCCTTTTGTCGCATGAGCCCCCACACCACAGATCACTCTCTAGAACCTGCCCCTCAGAGACAGGGAGGAAGGGAAATGAGAGTCCTTTTGGGCCTTCTCCTATCTCCTTGTCTCCTTGTTTAGGCATGGGTGGCCTCCCCTGCCCCCAGGTCCCTGCTTACCAACCCCTTTGTCACAGCCTGGACTATGGAGAGGGATGGAGGAAGTCTGAAAGAGGAGGGGAGAAAGCTTGTGGTTGCCCCAGGACAGGCGAGGAGGGCCATGCTATGTCTGCACCCTGGTAAAGGTGACCCCTGCCAGTTGGCATCAGCAGCCCTGACACATTCTTGCCCACAAGGATAGACTGGCAGTGTGTTGAGCTCCAGAATCTTTCCATCCCAAAGGTGGCCTCTGTGATTGGAAGACGGGATCCTTATGCTTTCCTCTTGACCCCTCCCTGTGCCTTCTGGGGAGAGAGGAGCTATGGGAAGTCTCCAGCCTCAGAGACTTGAGCGGTTTACATTAAGTTCTTTTGATACAGAGATCTGTTTTAAGACAAGTGGGCAACAAAGGGCATTCTTAATAAAACCAATCTGAGTCTCACCTACCTTTGTTCAGCCTATTTGTGTGGACAGGAGGGAAGAAGGAGACAGTTGACTGGGAAGGGGCAGGGGAGGGAGGCGGGGTCTCTACATAGATAATGGAGGTAGGCATGTCAGGGACAGGATGCAGGACTTGGCAGGAGGGAGCCAGCTGCCAATTCTGGGTTCCCTGGGCCCTTGTTGTGTCTTAGTCTTATAGTCTCTCCTAATCAATACAAATTCCACTTCAGTCTCCTAATTATCCCCACTGTCCCTTCCCCCACCTCAAAGCAAGAGCTGTCCTAGAAGATCATTTGAGCCTTTGCTCTGAACCAGGATCCACTGCTATTTGCTACTCAAACTCTCTGAGCTTCGCCTGGAAACAAGATAACAGGACATGCTTCTGAGTGTGAGAGTTGAATGATGCCTAGCGCCTAGCACACAGTTAAGTGCCCTTGAGTCGGCACTGACCCACAGCGACCCTGAATACGCTTTCCAAGGAGAAGTTGGTGAACTTGAACTGCTAATCTTGCAGATCAAACCAACTTTGCAGTCCAGCACATTAACCCACAGCACCACACCAGGACTCCTAGCACATTAACCCACAGCGCCACACCAGGACTCCTAGCACACAGTAGGCATTCTATATATGACTTGACCGTGGCCTTCCTTAGCTTGGGGAAAATAGGTGGTACAGAGATCTAACCTCATGGAAACTTCTGAAAGAAAGGCTAAGGTTGTTGGTGCCCCCTACCTCCCCACATGCATAAGATTGAGATCTCTGGGCCCTTGGTGGTTCCCAGGAGAGCCACAGACAGCACCTGACACTCAGCAGAGGATGTTTTCTTTATTAGGTGCCACCTCAGGTAACAGAGGATCTGGGGAGGGGGCATGGTGGCACGGGGGGCCCTGGCCTCTCATATGACCTTCTTCTGGGCCCAGGCAAAGAAGATGCCCTTGACATCGTCCACACCTGTCCTCAGGTGGGCGGGCATGACGTAGGTGCGTAGATCCCGTACCTCATAGCCACTGTGCAGCAGCGCTGCTCTCACCTCCTCCTCACGGACAGGGACTACCATCAGCCTGGCTTCCCCAGCCAGGTACCACGACTCCTCCAGGGCCCCGATGAGGAGGAGGTGCCCCCCAGGCCTTAGCAGCGTGGTGATGTGATCCAAGGCCTGCTGGAAGCTGGCAAGATCCGGGCTCACAGCCTCCAGACAGAAGGTAGAGACCAGGGCATCAGCAGGCAGGGGTGCCAAGCTCCCAGTACCCAGGGGCTGCGACTGATGTACGTCAATGGGCAGGACCCGCTTCACCCTAGCTCGAAGCTGACATTCCTTCTCCTGCCAGGACTCACTGTGTAGGGACACAGGGCAGAGTCAGGACTGTCCCACAATGAGATGAGTCCTTTCTTGCTCCATCCAGCACCCTCACCCCTGCCTGCACCCTCATTCCCTGTTCCTTACCCTTTTCCTTCAATGAGGCAGACATGCTGGCTGTACACATTCCAGTTGAAGGCCCCAGGCTCCTCCCGAAGCCAGAGTTCCAACTCCTGGCGGTTCACCTCCAGGAAATCTGTCATGGTGATGTCCTCAAAGTGGGCACAGGCACTGAGCAGTTGGTATATGGTGGGGCCTGAGCCAATGTCAATGAGGGTGTGGCCAGATATCTCACCTAGGTGCAGCAGGGGAAGAGGGTCCTGGTTCCAGGCTTGCTAATCCTACTCTCCCTTCCCTGCTTCTCCTTCCCTTTTGATGGCTTCCGTCTCTTTCTAAGTGTGTCTATCTGGAAAGACATTGGCTAAGGCTCAGGTCTGGTGTATAGGTGTGGAAGTATCAGCTTCCACACCTGTAAAGCAATACCTATCAGTGTGGACTCAACGGGCAACCCCTGATGCCTCTCAGTTTCTTCTCCTCTACATCCATCCCTGTCTGCATCTGTCCCTGTTTCTCTCCGGCCCCACATCTCACATCTCTCAATTCTGAACTTTCTCTCCTCACCTTCTTTCTCAAGTCTCTCCTGTCTTTTCTACTTGCACCTCTTAACTACCTCTCTCTTTTTCTCTTAGTCCCTTTCTGGCTCTAGCTCTGTACGTTTCTTTCCCCATCTCCCCATCTCTTGCTCCATTGACTCACCAGTGGCAAAGGTCTGTGCCAAGCAGCGCAGTTTCCAAGGCCCCACGCCATCGGGTTTGCTCAGGTCCCCACGAGGGGGTGCATAGTTGTTGCCAAGGTAGGCACGGGGCTCAAAGCTCTGGTAGGCTGAGGCGACTGCCACTCGGCCCTGGTCCTTGTCAGGGGCTTCGTCCGCAGCATGGCTTGGGTCTGTGCTGTTCATGCTGCTTCTGCGCCAGCCTGGTCCTCTTCGACTCGCAGCCCCCCTATATCTATGGCCAACCCCCCACCTACCCCACCCTGTTCTGCGGGGGAGGTAACTGAGCTGTGGGCAGCCCCAGGGCCCAGTACACTGCCTGCATCTCCCCCACTCCCATCCATCTCCCTTAGTGTCTCAGCTGCAGACACATGGGGAACTGGGTGGGGACAGTCACCAAAGCATCTGTTCCCGCCCTGCCCCCACTCTGTAGGGTCCTCAAGTCCCCACCACCTTGAGCCTCACTAGCTTTGCCCCCTCCCCATCTCCTGACGCTTAGATGTCTCTATGCCCAGCCACTAACCCCTTTTGCTCTACATATTTTTCTGATATTCCCAAATGGCCCTTTTCCCCCTCCCCCAGATCTCCCCCCGCCCCAGGGTCCCCTTCTTCCAGGTAACCTTTCTTACATCTACCTCATCTCTTTAGCAACATTACCCCAACTCCCCTTCTCCACCCATGTTCCAGATTTTTTCATCTTTTCCTACTCCCTCCCATCCTACCCCTAGTCCAGAAAGGACAGTCTGTTCTGGCCGCCACTGTGGTCGCCCTGAGGGCCCCAGAGCCGGACTCGTGCCCCACCTGTCCGATGGCAGCTTTGATAGGGGAGAGAGAGGTACAGGACTAATGCACTTAGCAAGCTGAATAGTGGGGCCCTTCTTGTGGACCCTGTGGGGTTGGAGTGGAGGTGGTGGATGGGTCGGAAGGTTCAGGATGTTCCCAACACATCGGAGGCATTGGACGGGCCTGGGTGAGGGTGGAAACCAACAGGAACTTGGGGCATGTTCTGGATCACCAGGTTTACAGGAGGACACAGTCCGGGTCTTAGCGTGTCTGCAGATTTGGGGCCTTACAGCTTTGGGGTCCCTTTGTATAGCCCACACTCCAGCCCCCTCAGGGAAGAGGGGCCTGCAGGTTCTACTCAGCCTCCAGCTAACTGGGCTACCACAATGCAAGTCTTCCCTCTTGTCTCCCAACAGAGAGCAGAAGCTGCATGCCTTCCTGGATCAAGATGAGGACCAGCCACCAAGGGTCAAGGCCTCCTCTGTGACCCCCCTTTTCTCTGGCCCAGCGAGTATCTCCTAAAAGGCCCAGGCAGCCAGGTTGGAACATGAGTCAGCTCAACAGCTGCATGGGTCACAGACAGGAACCTGACTCCCTGTCCCTCCCCCAGGACAACCCACCCTTGGCTCCCAGGACAGGGAGGGTAGAGCCCCTGAGAGCAGCCAAGGATTCTGTCTGGATTCAGAACTGAGAGGTAGGTCAGCCTTGGGGTCACTGACCCTGTCCACACCCAAGGACAGTCCTGGGTGCCAGCTGGTCTGCTGGGCACTGCCCAGTGCCAGGGGACAGCACAGAGGCCAAGACAAGACAGGGCAGCAGAGTCAGGGTACAGGGAGGAGACTGGACAGGCAGCATGTGGCCCTGTTTACAGCTCCGTCCCTGTCTCCCCTTCCCCTCCCCAAGCATGAAGCATATTTAGCGGCTCTGCCATATTTAGCTCAGATGCTGCAGCCTCCTCATCCTTTCCCAGAAGTGGGCATCGGGGATAGTGATGGGCTGGGCTTTACAACTGCAAGGAGAGACAACATTTTGGAACACGATTGAGCATTTATTGCAGTGCTAACAGAGGGTGCTGGGGGCTCCACCCTGCCTCTGTCCTTTTCACATCCCCCTTTCCTCAGGTCTTCTCTAAGCCCCTTTCACAAAGGCATCCACATGCCTCCACACTTGTCATCCTCTGAAGGTCAAGCCTAAACCAGATTCACTCTTCCCAGGAACCTCCTGCTCTCACCAGCACCTTTTGTCCCTTCTCCTGGGGCTAGGGGCACTCTGCAATGCTAGCCCCCAGCTCTCCATCCTTACTGACCATCATCTTTGCTCTTCTACCTTTGGGAGCTCAAGGGACCCAGGCAACCAGGTCTCTTGCTTCCTCCTTCCCCAGCCCCTAACCCTGGGCAAACTACAAAGCATCCATGGCCAGCAGCAACCTTCTGCAGTGCTAGCCAGGAAGGGCCCAGCCTGGGGTGGGCACAGTGGAGCCTGAGTCAGCTCTGCTCAGCCTCTCTGTGCTTCCTGGGACATGGAACGGGACAGGGATCGGCGGAGTGAGCCAGGCTTGCTGACAGTCACCACAGGGGGTAACTGCTTGGTGATCTCGGCCACATCCTGGCGGTCCACACACTGGCCACCAAGGGCCGTCTCCAGCGCCAGCAGCTCCCGTAGCTGGATGGGGGTGTCCTCGCGATCCTCCTTGGTGGCACCCAACTTGGTAGGGGTGAAGATGGGCAGTGGCAGCACCCGTTGGTAGGGGATCTGATATTCTTGTAGCCCACGGCCCAAGATGCCCATCCGCATCACCAACCAGGGGGAACGCTGCACCAGTGCCTGGCACTGCCCCTGCCGGTGGTAGGTCTCATGCCGCAGGGCATCCTCCTCATGCAGGGAGCAACTGGGCAAGGGGGAAGGAGGTGGTGAGGTCCTGACAGTAGGCGCCCTCCACTTACAGGCTAGTTGGGGGCTCCCAGGACCTGAGGGACGGAGGGGAGAGGGATTCCACTTTGCTCTCCCCGGTGGGCCATCCCTGACTTCACCCACAGAAACATCTTCTGGGCTTTGTGTCCTGACCGCTGAGGGCTCTGGGGGCAGAGGCAAGACCCTGATGGCTGGCACTCACCCCTCCTCAGGCCTTGAGGACAGTGTCATGTCCTTCCATTCAGCCCAGAAGGCCTCTCGGCGCTCACAGTTCTCCTCGGACACCTGGCAGCTCAGCTCAGAGGCGGCCATGATCACACCTTACTCCTGGGCTTGGCTCCGGCAGGCCTTTAAATAGCCCCTCCTCCCTCCTCCAGGGGCTATTTTCAGCCCCTCTGGCGTCAGATGCTATAAGCAGAGCCAAGACTCACTGATGGGGGGATTCTGGGTCCAGGGTGGGGGTTGACTTTGGCTGCCCCTAAGTCAGGGGTCAGCTCCTGAAGGGATCAAGCTGTCCCTGCAGAAGCAGGGGTCCTCAGGATGACACCTCCAGGTACCATGACACTCCTTAGATACCATCTCAGGTCAGGCACATGCCCACCTTGGCATTTGTTCTCTACCCCCAGCCCTTCCCCCTGGCCGGGGTGTGGTGACTCTCCTGTCAACAGAGCAAGGAACAGTGGGAACCGCCGCCCCTGTGGCTTCAGCATCAGGCTGCCAGGTCCTCACCCCCACCCCCTCCCATCCCATGGCCTGGGCTCAAGGGCACAGCCTGAAACTGCACCCTCAACAGAAAGGGCCAATGAAAGCCACCCCGTCCTCAGGTGTGTGCCCCAAAGCCCCCAGCCCCAGCAGAGCCTGGGGCCCTGGAACACCAGGTATGGGAGGCAGTCCCCCAGCTCTACTTCCAATACTCTGGGGGTTGAAGTGGGCTTAGATGGGAACCAACCGAGGGGCTCTAGTTCCAAATCCACCATAAAGGAGCTGTGTGATCACAGGTTAATTACAGTACTGAGTCTTACTTTCTAGTCGCAGCACAGTGTGCTGACCACAAGGGCAAGCGGCTTGACAGCTCTGAGGTCCTAGCCTGGGAGTAGGCTGTTCTCACTCCCAGGGACCAGGAATTTGCTCAGCAGCTCAGAGTAAGCTGAAGGGCAGAGAACAAGAGTGTAGCTGAGTGGACAAATCAAAGGGCACTAGCAGAGGCAGTGGTGAGCCAGGGATACCCAGCAGTGGACACATATTCCTGGTTATTGAGCCCCAAGTCTGAGTCTTGGTCTCCTTACATTTCACTCACAATGCTATGGCGTAATGAAGCTCCATTCAGAAAGGAAGAAATGGAGGCTTAAAGTGGTAGATTGATTTTCTAGGGACACATACCTATCAAGGCCTGGAATAGGATCCACCTGAACCCAACTCTAAGCAAACTGGTTTGGAAGTCTGTAGCAGGTGGAAAGGGGTGGAACATCAGGCTCGATGCTGCCCCTGCAAGGGGAGCAGAGGGAGGACTGAGCAGAACCTAAGAACAAAGGTGTCTGAACCTGAAGCCCAGGGACCCCTGGTCTCATGACCAGAATGAACAGCCCAGGCCCACTGCATCCCAGCACTGGCTGGCCTCTCTCTGCCCCCCATGTCCACCATGTGGGTGGAGACCTTACCCTGAACCCCCTCACAGGAAGCGGGGGCACATTTTTCTTTGAGTCGTCATCCCCAGTAGAGGAAAGTGTGATAAAATTCCAGGAACAGGATCTCCATTGGCTCCGCCCACTCGTGACAGAGAGAGAGTGTGTGTGTGTGTGTGTGTGTGTGTGTGTGTGTGTGTGTGTCGCACACGTGTGCATGCTCAGCCATGCTCACTTCTTCCCCCCAAATTCAACAAGTGAGGCAAGAACAAGAGCTGCTGCTTTTTGAATTCAGGTTTTTAATTGGCTCAAATTACAAAAATCCTCAAGGAAGCCCTGGAGGAGGAGAGACTGGGAGAAGCAGAGATTCACTGCCAGTTCACTGACCCCTGCCAACCACTGTTACTTCCCCACAGTGCCTGTGGAAAAGGGTTCCAGACCCTTTAAATAATTCTAAAAAACGGTGATGGCAAGGGAGCCTATGCTGTCCTGGCCCTCCCCCAGACCCTGGCAAGGTAGGGGGACAGCAGATGTCCTCCCCCAGGAAACTGGGTGGCCATGTAAACATCAGCTGGACAGATCCCAAGTCCCTCGGCCAGCAGAGTCTAAATGCTCAGGCCCAGGCCCTGTTCACAGCAGGGACTCCCAGGCACAGTGTCACTTAGGTGGGGGGTGATTTGGGGCCAAGGTCCTTGCATGGGAGGGGCCTTCCTTCTCCCACTGCAGGAGGCCAGGGCCTTTGTGAGCACTGGGAAGCCTGACCGGCCTCCTCTCTGGCTTTGGCAGGACCCTGGCCCGCAGGGTGAGGAAGAAGGCATGGTTATGTCCGGACTCCCAGCTCTGTGATGCGCTGCCGTAGGTGAAAGGCAAATTCAAACATGGTGGCTGCAAGGCTTTGGTGGATGAGGTATCGGGGCAGACGGCCCTAGGGAAGGCAGGAAGAAGTTACACCATGGCATGCACTCAGGAGGGCCTCTCTCAACACCTGGCATCAGCAGGGGGTGCGAAGCGGCAGGTCTGAACTCCAGGCTACACCACCCGCCCTCCCGAGCAGGAAGAACATGCTGTGCCTGAGTGTTGGCCCTGATCCCACACACAGACCCAGGCACAGCTAGGCTGGCAGCCAGCCGCCCTCCCTAGGCCTTGGAAGTATGAGGTAAGAAAAGGGAGGCACAAAGGCTGAAGACCACCAGGGCCCAATCCAAATCTGAGTGAGAACGGTGGCTGAGAGCAGGGGACATCCTGGGTGGGGCAGGGAACCCCCAATGTCATAAAGTGACCAAGTTGCTAGTAGATTTCCCTCCTCCATCCCACCAAGCCTGCCTACAGCCCCCCCAGCACCCCTGCCCTACCCTCCCCACCTTGAGATCAGTATTGAGGATCCAAATGAAGGTGCACACTCGGGGATTACTGGCTGACTTGAGTACGATGAAGCCCCCAGGCCCGTTCTCACCCCTGAGGAGAAGGACATTACTTGGGGAGGAGGAGCTTGGAGCTGGGCCCTTCCACCCCCATCTGGACCCAACTTGAAAGGGGTAGGAGCGGAAAGGGAGTGGCTGGGTCAGGAACTCAAAACAGGTGCACCCTCACTTCACTACCACGTGAAGCTCAATTCCTCCTAAACAGCTGCCTATGTTTGCATACCTCAACGCACCTTACCAGCCCTCATCCACCCTGGCCAGGGACTCTTAAACTCTGATTGGCATGCTTTAACTCTGCCCAATTCAGGTAGTGCAGTGCCAGCCGGTTCCAGGAGGGGGAGCCTTTACAGCAGGCAGCCAGGACTTGGGCCCAGGGCCTGGGCAGTATCTTTCCAATTCCCAGGCCATTGAATTCTCTGTTGGCTCCACTGGCTCCACTGGCTCCACTGGCTCCACTGAGCACTCCTCAGCCCACTCTATAGATAAGGAAGCTGACATCCAGAGAGGAAAGGAGCCTGTCTCCTGTCACTCAGCAAGTCTACAGCAGTGTCAAAACCAAAGCTCCATTTTCAGATTCAAAGAGCAGTGTTCTCTGCTGGAACACGAGGAAGGGAGTGGGAAGGAAGAGACCTATACAGCACGAGAGCCTAAAATTAGACAACAGGAAGGACTGGGAGGATACCCAGGAATAGGCCGCAGGAAAACTGTAACTCCCCTTCTTTGGGGGGACTTTGGAGCACTGCAGGGGTCCCAGTCAAGGCCATAGGGACAAGGTGAGAAGCATGAAAGGGGCCCTATGTCTCCTGAGTCAGGAAGATGAAGCTCCAGAACTGCTCAGGTTGACCAGCCCAGCACAACCCAAGGCTTGCAGTCCTCTCCCATGGACAGTCACTAACCCTGATCTAGCCTGGCCCACAGCCCACTGCCCACTTCCCCCAGCCTTCCAGGCTTGGCTCCAGTCCCTAGCAGACAGAACAGAGAGATTAGTGAGATTAGGAGTCAGGAGGGACAAATCCCAGCAGGACAGGGCACAAAAACATGGACACAGAGGGGGAACATGCCCATCTGGACACACTGTACCCTGCTCTGTCCTCGCTGCGCTTGAGGAGGGGCATTTAGACTTACCTGACGTATTTGTGGGTTGGGGGCTTGGCGCAGTGGATGGTGGCAATGCCAGATGACAGGTATCGGTCTCTGCGTCGCTCGATGCGCCGAGCGTTTACAAAATCCCTGGGGGAGGGAGAGTTGGATTGTGGGGGTCAAGCCCAAGCCCAAGGGGGTGGAACCTGGAGAGGTCTGACTAACTGGAGATGTGGCAGGCGCTTACCTGGGGGAGACCACACCACCCGCAGCCCCTGCAGACACATCATAGGAGATGAGGGTGTTGTCGTCTACTCGTTGCAGGATCTGTGGGTCAGAGGGATGACAGGTGAGGCCCAGTTCAGTGTAGGAAGATGTCACGGTCCCAGCATGTCAGGGTACCCCCGGCCAGCTTCCCTTCCCTAAGAGCTGACCGCTCCCATTTATGAGCCGTGGGCCAGCTGCTCGATGGGCACTCCCTATTCCCATTCTCCCCAGAAGGCACTATTCCCACCATCCCCATTTTACAGATGAGGAAGCTGAGGCCCTGAGAGGCTCAGTGACAAGACTCAGGTCCCCTCAGGGTAAGTGGCTGTGCTCACCTGGCAGGCAGTCACCGTCTTGTTCCATAGCACCATCCTCTCAGGCTGTAGGATCACCTCCTGGTACACCAGCTCAGCAGGGCAGGGCAGGAAGGCCTGGGGCAAGGTGGTGCCAGATGTCCCACTCGGCCACCCCAGCCCTGCAGAGGCCCCTCTGAGCAGGACGTTCGCTTCCCTCACTCACCTTCAAGATGAACGTCTTGCCGTGAAAAGGAACCTCAATGGTGTACACAGTGTCCCCATACTCCTGTGGCAGGGACACAGGGTGACAGGGAAGTGGGGGGAGGGCATGCGGAGTTGGCTGATAGTGCTTCAGGGCAGGGTGACAGGCAGGGCAGAGGCTTTTCAGAGCCCAAGGTGGAAAACTCCAGGGCCTGGAGATATCTGAGCAGCCATCGAAAAGCTGTGGGTCTGACTAATGCCCAGCAGAGGAGAAACAGGCTTTTGATAACAAGTCAGAAGAGCAAAGCCTGGCTGCAGCTGGGACGTGAGGAGCTGCCGTCGCCAGGCTGACAAGGATGCCAGAGGAACGGACCGGGAATGGGCTGGCTGGAGAGCGGGGTCAGGATGTTTTCCAAGCTCTCTGC